TGAATATTTCTTTCTGGAATGAAATACTCTAAGAAGTTACTTGAGAAAGGCTGGAGACTGTTAATGTTGTTATCACATGAAATGAGAGATCCAGTTAGGAGGTTTCACTGGATTTGGGGTTCAGGCAAAGTGGAGTAACATCACTCTCTGGCCTATGGGATGCATGATTCTTTAATGGCTCTCCCATGTGTTGAGTGCATCTGTTTGCCAATGCCTCACTAAAGCAAAATGCAAAAGAATAAACTACAGCTTCCAGCATTGAAGAGGTTAAGAAACGCTATAACCTAGTGTCTGCTTGAGTCCTCTTAAAGTAGCTGGTTGAGTACTATAGATTTTTCCAAGACACATGACATAAAAGGGTTGGAGGAAAAGCTGGAATTCAAATCGAGCCACTTCACAAAAAACGCTATTGACTCTGCATGCTGGAAAATTCAGTAATTTCCGAGTTACAGTTGTATATCCAGAGGAAGTCTTGATCCTGTCCTGGGGGAGAAGCGTTCAAAAACTGTGTCTGTTGTATTGGATAATTTTATACGACATTCAGCTTCAGGCGTTCTGGTTGTTGGATTTCACTTTTTATCTCTGCTAAGAAATGCAAGTAATCCCTTATTTTTGTTTAGTTGGTTGGGTTCCTGTTAGTCTGTGACATTCTAGAACATTTTTATATATGCTCAGATGTATTTTCATCCGTGCAGCACAGTTTAAATTTTCTGCCAAGGCGTGAGTTTTATTATTGGCACTAAAAGGCATTCTAATCTCTGTTACACTCAGGTGAATAAAAACCTTGAAGTGATTCAGTGATCCTGGAGGACTGAAACTATTTTCTTCATTCGTGCTACTGATTTAGTAAAAGCTAGCACATCCCTCTGAAATAGCATTTTTAGCATAAGCCAGTTTGAATGTAATTGTCTGTGATTTAATTAGGTTATTTATTTTCATCCACTGTGTAGGTGACTTGGAAAGACTCATTCCAGCAGATGGTAGATTTCAGAAAGAGACAGATCCCAAATCCATGTTGCCTCTGTGCCATGCCGGAGACATGCACTTGCTCAGCGTGGACCCCAAATTCCAAAACGACTTGGTCTCCAGGAATGGCGTTGATGTGTATCCTTACCCGAGCCCCCTGCACGCGGTGGCTTTACAAAGTCCCCTTTTCTCGCTGGTGGGGACATCCCCAGAAGCAGACCTCCCGCCTCCTCCCAGCAAACACACACACAGTGCCACGGGTCCCGGCGTGATCCGGACTAGGCCAGCCACCGAGGCCAAGCCGGGGGGTTACATCGATAAATTACTGCAGCTGACGAGATGCAAGGGGAGCAGTCGGGCTGATGCCGGTGAGTGGCTTTCAACAAAGAGCCAGCCAGCCACGGTGCACCAGAGACTCGTTATAACCCCCAGCGCTGGTGGAGTGAAAATTAACAGCAGTGGTAGCCAGCTGGAAAAACAAGGGAGTTTTCCAGAAAGTAACAAAGCTGAAGGGAAGCTGCAGAGAGAGGTGCCGGAGGGGGAATGTGCCAAGCAGCAGGAGACGGTGCACGGTGTGAATGAAGAACAGCCGTGCGCCCGGCCCGACCCTGGGCCGTCAGCTGTGAATAGCTGTTACCCTGCCAAGTCAGCAGCACGGGGATCTCCTCTGGCAGAAGCCACGGAGAGCAGCGTGGAGCGCGGTTCGTCCTGCTTGCAGCTGTGCCAGGACAACTCCAGCCCGGGCACCTGGGACGCTGAAGCCACCCCACCCAGAAAGCCGCTCCTCAAGAGGTGCAGCAACGCCAAGCTGGCTGCTACCGGGGGTCACGAGCGAGCGGCACGGGGCGAGTTCGTCCATGCTCGGTTCGTCCCTGCAGAATCCCACCAAGTCGGGGTCAAGTTTGCCAGCTCCAAAATGAAGGCGGTGAAGATAAAGAGGAGGAACAGTGAAAAGGTGCTACGGCCTGGGAGACAAGCCTTTTGCGTGGAGAAGGCCAGTGGGTTCCACGGCTGCCCGCCGAGTGGAATCAGCCCCAGAGACCACATGGAGCAAAGAGCCTCATGCGGAGACCTTCGTATTCTGGGGATGTGAGCGGCAGGTCGTGCTCGGAGTCCAGCCTGTTCCCGGTGCAGGTCAGGCTCCCCGCTGTGCCATCCGGGCCAGAGCTCTACAGAGCCTCTGCCAACGCGCCATATTCCCTGGAAGCGGCTTGCGGAGAAGCAGCCGGCAAGAAGAAGCAGCGCAAGTGGCAGTCGACAGGGCGCGCTCCAGGGCCCAGCGCCACGGAGCTGATGCCAAGAGCGAGTCTGACCACTCCGAGTACTCTGCTGAGTGCGCTTCCCTCTTCCACTCCACCATCGCGGAGACCAGCGAAGGGGAGGTCAGTGACTTCACGACTAACCGCTTCGGGGACAGCGAGTCCAGCGGAAGCGACTCGGATGGCAGCAGCAACAGCAGCAGCCTTGC